ATACAGTAATGTCTCTCTAATTGACGCTCGGATTGTGTACAAAAATGGGCACTTTGGGAAGAGCAGATACGATTTTTATAGTTGCCGATCGTCAACAGCTGTAAAAACCTGCCTCGATGTTATTTAATAATCGCATCTCCTCTTCCCGATTTGTCCATTTTTGTGCGCAATCTGAGCGCGAATTAAGGAGAATTTACTGCAACCCCGCGGTGCAAATGTCGTCCATTTTTCTTTAATAGGGAGCATGGAGAATTATTATTATTATTATTATAGACTGCGGATTTTTGCGTAGAATTATCATTTTGTGCAGCGATTGCATAACGCGATCATAAATATAAAATAATATCTTTCGTAAATTATTCGAATATGTAGAAAATAACGTGTCAATATTGTTATTAAAATCAGTCAGTCATAAGATAGCTTTAAACTGCAGCATAATCATTTCTCTAGCAACTAACTAGAAAATTATATCTTTCGTAAATGATTCGAATATGCCGAAAACAACGTGCCAATGTTGTTATTAAAATCAGCCAATCATTCGACAGCTTTAAACCGCAGCAACACATTTTTCACAACGAATGCATAGAATTTAATAATCTGAGCCGCGAATTTTTATGGGAAACGAAAATTGTCCGCGTTAATTGCACGTCGCAGAAACTGCAGGAACATTTGTTTCATTCTTCAGTTATTTCATCGAGTTGAAAATAATGCGACAGGACTTTCGGATTCCGCGAACGTTCCCACTGTTCGTTAATTGATTTAGCGATTTTTACAATAAATGCGGAACAGTTAGTTATTTACCATCGGGTCCTGTTGCTTTTGCTCGGCCGCGCGGAGAGTGTGAACAAATTATTATTGTCACTATATTTCTCCGGCAAGTCGAGAGAGAGAGAGAGAGAGAGAGAGAGAGTCCCGCGAGATACCGTTCTTCTTCTTCTTCATCTTTTTGCAGATTTTCTGCATTTACGACGGAAGTTAATATTAGAGATAAACCGTAAAAGTTTTTCGCTATGTCTTTCGCCTCCCCCCCCCCCTCCCCCGCCCCGCAGGCAAACGAGTCGCGGATATTTCCATGGCAACGATATTCGTATAATCCGGGTAATTATACAAATAAAATGTTTTACGAGCCCATTAAAAATGAGGATGCAGAGACCGGAGCGAAATAGAAACTTTCTTTCTCTTATTACGTTCTACCCATTATCGCGGAACGATAATGCGGGATTTATTCCCTGCTCCACCAGCGAGAATCATTATTCGGTTATGTTTTATACGCCCGCGGTTGCTACACAATTGCGTTGAAATCTACAACCACGAACGCACCGCCGCTAATCTAATTTACAACCCATAATCGATATCTCGTGCACTTTCGTACCCGGATCAGCCATTTCAGGATAGAGAACCTTAAACGATAATAGCCGAGGCCCCGCTGTAATTGAACGGCCGTACATGTACGTGTTACCAAAGCTATCCGGATACATATGTCCCGTACGGTATCATTGAAACTTCTGTTTTGTTTGTTGTTTTTTTTATCCGCGAAACGTTCGTTTGCCTCCGATAATAAAATTGTAACGCGGCCCGCGCCGCGAGCGATATCGTCTGAAAACGGAGGTTACCGTAAATTATTGCCGCGTTATTACTGTAAATCAACGCTACGCTCTTCCCGCGAATGAGGAAAAAAGAAAATAAAGCAAAGGTGCTCGCTCGGTTTTTCGCCGAAACGCGGAATACGATTTTCGAGTAAAATGAAGGATCGCGTATGAAAAAGGTCTTCAAGCGAGTTCAGGATAACTATTTATGATATGATCTAATTGTGTGTTCGACTGTTGGAGGTGTAATTCTTAGTGTTCGAATACATTTTCAAGCTGTTACACCGATCGAATGTTACACCGGGCGAGAAATGGGAGCTCGATAAGATCTGTTCAACAAGAAAAGACAAAAATTCGATTACGAAAAAATTGTTCGTGAAGTTTATAGATTTCTTTATACCCCTCCCCCCCCCCCCCCCCCCCCCCCCCCCCCCCCCCACCCGCCCAAGAATTCTAGAACAGTACAACCTTCAGTTCTGTGTAAAAAAAGATTGACCAGTAGTAATTTGTTCATACTCCGCGCAAACAAGCAATTAACATCGATTAAATCGAATTAATCGGAACATTTGCGGAATCTGAAAATGCTATCGCATTATTGTCAACTCAATGAAATAACTAAAGAATGAAATAAATGTCCCTGCAGCTTCTGTATCGTGCAATTAACGCAGACAATTTTTGTTTCGCATAAAAATCCGCGGCCTAAATTATTAAACTTTATGCATTTATTAGAAAAATAACTTGCTGCGATTTAAAGCTGTCGAACGATTGATTGATTTTAATAACAATATTGACACGTTATTTTCGATATATTCGAATAATTTATGAAAAACATAATCTTCTGATTAGTTGCTGCATTATGCAATCGCTGCACAAAATGATAATTCTACGTAAAGATCCGCAGTCTATAATAATAATAATTCTCCACGCTCGCTTATTTTAAAAAAATGGACGACATTTGCACTGGCGCTGCAGTAAATTCTCCCTAATTGACGCTCAGATTGCGCAGAAAAATGGACAATTTAGGAAAAATAAATACAATTGATATAAGAGATACATCGAGATACGAGCCACACGTCTCATTTTCGTTTTTCTCGATCGTCAACAACTATAAAAACGAGTCGCAAGGCTCGAATAATCGCATCCCCTCTCCCCAAACCGTCCATTTTCCCACACAATCCGAATTACCCTACAATGTCCATACAAAAATAGTCCGCAGAAAGGAAACGGTTCCGATGTAATGGCAGAACGTGGGTCTTACAGAGGACCGTCCCACGTCAGTCCTAGGTCAGCGAAGTCTCCCGGAAAAGCCATGATCCGGGTATCGCGACCACGAGCTGGTCGCAGGCACCGTAGAAAAGCCCCGTTGTCGCCATTGAATTCTTGTCTCTGGTCAGTTCGCGGGTAGCGGGTCGGGGTCGCGGTTACCGCGAGCATAAATCATTTCGCCGTTCGGAAGCGCTTCGCGAGAGCGCGGCCGGCTGGCAAGGATAAACAGAGAGCCTTCCGACGAACACGAGAACACAAACCAGCAACAGAGAGAGAGAGAGAGAGAAAGAGAGAGAGAGAAAGAGAGAGAGAGAGGAAAATAGAGAGAGAGAGAGAGGAAAATAGAGAAAGAGAGAGAGAGAGAGGAAAATAGAGAAAGAGAGAGAGAGGAAAATAGAGAAAGAGAGAGAGAGGAAAATAGAGAAAGAGAGAGAGAG